CTATAACTTTGAGTATAACGGTAGTTTTTATATACGCACCAAGCCATATTGGCTTAAGGGAAATTATAAGGTCCATAGAGCTGCACGTGAAACCTGCTTCTTAGAAAGAGTTGAAAGTTGTCTTTTTTTCAGCCCATAGAAGAAGGCATATAGATTAAGTGCAAAAACCCATGGGATTAACAAATATAAAATAAACTTCGATTGGTTAAACCAAACGTTAAGAAGTAGATATGCTTCCGACAGTTGAGAAGAGCGTTAACGAGTAATAAATCGATTGCAAATAGTACACTGAATTCAATGACAATAGATCACCCACAAAATATCATAACTGCCGAACAGCACTAACAGTGAGGCACACATTTGAGATCTGACTTAAGTACAGCAGAAAAATGGCCAACTTAGACATTTCTCGGCTTCTTGCCAAGGCACTAATTGAAGACCACCTCAACAAAATAATCGGGTTCATTAAAGAGACAAGCCTTACAACAAGATAAGGAAATGTAAGCCAGTTAACAGAAAATCAAAGAAATCGGAAGATTAAAACCATTGAAATTCTACATCCTTTAAAATTAAAAATAAATATTTTGTCAGTTTAAAAAAAAATATATTTTACTCCGTGTATACTAGCGATGTGGCTGAGATAGAGAGGCGCCGGGATTTCTTATAGTCCTGCTTTTCATTCCACTCGTAGAAGAAAGGCCTTGCTCGGAGTTTTCCTGAATGAATGAGTTGTTTAAATATTGTAAGTACGCCTGTATTTTTTAAAATTATTTTTAATGATATTTACAACTGCATTAAAGAAATACATTTAGTAAATTTGAACATATGGGTATCATGACGTGAATACACTTGTTGATTAACTACCCAATGGTAGCACTCTAATGATATGTCTACACTAAGAGATCACTAGGCCATCTTCTTTTCAGACGCCTCTGAGGGTTATCAGGAATTGAAGACGAAGTAAGGTCAGAAACGAGAGGATTTGGACGATTCTGAAGTTTATTACGGAAGGTTAGGTATCTGGATTGGGCCAGATCTGAAACATAAAAAACATTAAGGTCATTATGGATGGTTTTATTTGTAACAAAGTAGGGAGCATTAAGGATTTTACGAAGGATTGTAAGGATTGGATACGAGAGGAATTCGATGGTTTAGTGGATGCCTGTATTTAAGTTGTTATTTTGATTAATTTAAGTTTCTTTTTTGTTTGTGTATATTTGTTTTTATTGTTTTTATTTTGCTGTTAATCTATTTAATTTCTTTATATTTACTGTATATACGGTGTGAATGAACGCCTATGTCACTATTATCAATTTTCAAAAAAAAAAAAGAAATACTCAAGAATATGAATAATTTTTAACTGCTTGGAAATCAATAAATCCTTCAGATTACTTACAAATTTAATTTCTTACACAAAAGTAAAAAAAAAATATTGCTCTAAAGTTATATAATTTTTGATAAAAATTAATGTCTCATATCATTATTATTAAATTGAAGGATGTGGTACAAGTTGTCTTCTCCCATGTGGATCTTTTATTAGATTGCCTTCTGTTCGTCTAAAGATCCTCTAGGAATCGTATATGTCTTAAGAAACATCCTCAGGATCTCGTATTAAAGTTAAAGGTCGGGTCGAAAACGCTATATGCAATACAAAAACACTCTTCGTGATTCCATAATTTACTAAAATTCTTCTCCCTCTGGAATCTCTTTTAACGTAATATGGTGTATAGTATAAGTGACTGTACCAATTCCATAACCTCATATCAAAATAATATATTTATATAAGTCGTAGAAATTAAAATGTAAATAAATAATTTTTTTTATTGTTTTCTTATTTTGGTTGATTCCATGTTGTTATATATATATATATATATATATAATATATATATATATATATATATATATATATATATTTATTTTTTATTTTATTACTGTCCCAACATTTTTGTACAAGAAATATGCCTCTACTTGTGACAAGCCCCTCGATAGCAACCTTATATAGCATGCTAATCTGGATCACCTTGTAGCCAACGTAAGATTAGTCACATCAACCGTGAGAAAGGAGCGTTAATAGTCACAACTATTTTTGTTTCCTATGTGATTTATGATCCAATACTATTTTTAGCAGATAATTAATTCAGATTTTCAGAGTTGAATGTTGAATAAAATTTATAATCAGCCTCGATTAAGAGAACCTTTTGTTTTGTCGATTTATAGTAATAAGTCATTTATTAACAACCAATACTTACTAACATACTAATAAGAGATAGCTGACTAGAAGACGAAAAAAGCACTTAACAATTCATGGTATTATAATCAATGCTATCCATGCCTATGCCTTTATGTCATTACTATTATTTTCTTAAGATCTACTAATTGACCGCAGTTTGTCGATTGGTGCAGATGAATATTTGAAGTTATAAAAAAAAAAAAAAAATCACTAAGTAATTTAGCCTTCCATGAAATCACAAGTAAGTAGTTAAGTGCTAAGCTCCATCAAAAGTGTACCTACAATGGTAGGTCACAGCTAGGAGTGAATCATCTATTTCAACTGTTATCATTATTTTTTTTTAAGATTCTTCGTTGAAAAATATTACGCATATGTCTCAGCGTTTGTTCAATTGCCTTAGGGATCGAGATACATATGATTTTATGTAATTTGAAAATAATATAAGTTATTTTGTTTGCCTATTGATTGCGCGGTTTTATATCAATCGATATTTTTTGTACAGAATAAAAAGAAAAAAATAGTATTTATTATTAAATGAGTTATATCATAAACTATAAAAACCAAAAGACGCTTTTTGTAATTTGATGTATACGTGTTTATGTATATATATATATATATATATATATATAATATATATATATATATATATATATATATATATATATATATATAAAATGGACTAATGAATAAATTAAGTGCAGTTTTACGTTGCAGTTTTACGCTAAGAAAAACAGACAAACTTCTTGTGATATAAATTGTAGTCATTAAAAATTATGTTAGATTAGTTTTCAGTTACATTCGAAAGTCTTAAGTACGAATGTTTAAAGAAATCAAAAAATTAAAATTTCAGTACTTCATATTTTTTTGGCGGATTATTTTTTTCGTCCATTGACTAAAGTATTAATAACTCTTAAGGATTTTATCCGAATTCGAGCTGAATGAATGATTTTCAAATCTACATCAATAGCATTTAAATTATATCCCTTTACAAGCTAGAAATGAAGAATAAGATTTAAAACTTTTTTATTTTATATCTTGGTTTCTTATTTGTTCTTGAGGGTAGACTTTTGGGATCCGACGAAAAATGGCAAACATTTTTTTTTTCAGCTAAAATTGGTGACCCACTGGCTTTAACCTCTTCATGTTAGTGTCTTATTAAATATTGAATACAATCTAAAATAATAAAGAGAAGAATAGTTGGGGTGTTCAATCAAAAAGGAAGGCAAAAATAAATGATAATATTTATTTTTTACATATGCAGACGTTTCGACCTGAAGTTCAGGCCTTCATCAGGGCTGTCTCCTTTCCCTTCTCATTCTCCCTGCGACACTTAAGGAGACAGCCCTGATGAATGCCTGAACTTCAGGTCAAAACGTCGGCATATGTAAAAAATAAATATTATCATTTATTTTTGCCTTCCTTTTTGATTGAACACCCCAACTATTCTTCTCTTCATTATCCACGACAGTCAACCAATTACCAATTATGAATCTAAAATTATAATATTAAATTCATTTTAACAGCTAAAGTTTATTAAATAGTATTTTTTTAAATAATCATACTGACCTTTTAACAACTTGTAGCAATTAAACAAAGCAAAAAAACATATATATTTTGTTTAAAATACTTTAAATAAAAATAACCGAAGATTTAGATTTTCTGAATAATTTCCTGAAATTAAACCTTGTTAACTTCTGATTTCGCAAATATCTATTACCTCCTTATCTATACTATCTACCAGTGGTTCGTGAACAAAATTATAACCCACCATATAAATTTTGAAATAATATTATACTCATTGAAATTCAAATTAACTAATAATAATTATTCTTTAATAAAAAGTAAATACCGGAAATTTCCAATTGGCTGAGTAGTTAGTTAAAACAATACGTACATATTATATTTTACATTTTACATATTGTGTTTTTCGTTTTTTCGTACATGCTTCATAAACTTGTTTGATTTCATATACTGACTAAATTCGAATTTAAATAAAATACCTTTTGTAACATGTATATATTGGAGTTCTGGCAGTGGCCAGATTCTCCACTCTAGTCATGGGTGTCCGTGGTTGTAGCGCCCTTACTCAATCTCCGCTGGCTTTCAATGCCAGTGAAATTGTTGAGGAAGAAGCGCAGGGATCTCCTGAAGCCTTGCTTTCCCTCCTTGGGGGATAAGTATGGTTCGGAGTTCCCATGGCCGACTGCTAATAGTGTAAATAGGTATGCTTCCATGTAAGATGTTTATTTTTATTAATTTTTTTTTTTTAAGATAATTTTAATTCTATTTTATTCATTTATTTTCATTCTATTATTACTATTATTTGTATTTTCTTTCTTCACTATGATATTTTATTTTGTTCTTTTGTAGCTTTATATTATTTGAAGTTAGCTTTTTTTTTTTTTTTTTTTTAAATTTGTAAATATGGTGTGAATGTGCTCTCAGAACTCTTTTATAAATGTCTTTTATTGAGACAGATTGTAATATTTATCAATAAACAAATAAAATAAAATATTTTTTATTTTTGACATACAAAATATATTTAATGTTTTTTTATGCATAAGATTGATGCAATTATTTATGTACTTCCATTAAAAACTTTCGTAATATTGTGAAAAATCGTAAATTTCCTTGGTACATTAGGGAAGTCTGGCTCTGTGACATTTTCATTTTATTTATTTTTTTTTTACTTCAAAAGATTTCTGAAGGTGATCCAGATTTAGCGAATATATAAGGACCGCGCCAATATCAGAAATCATAGGAATTTCACCAGACTTCCAATCCACTCCTAACAATGGCATCTTACAAGACCCTTGTGAGTATATTTCTGAAGATCGTGGATTTTCGTTAATTTATAAATTGTTTTCTGTTTATTTTTTTAATTTTTAGGTAATACTATAATTTTCACTTTTTTTTTAACAGTTCGTTCTCTTCGTGGCCCTCTTCGCAGTAGCCTTCGCTGCCGAAGAAGCCCGTGGTAAGAGAGGAGTCTTCTATGGTGGATATGGTGCCTACCCATACTCTTCCTACGGATACCACGGTTTGGGTTACTCTGGTCTTGGTTACTCCGGCTTGGGATACGGATACGGTCTTGGCTACCACAGTGCCGGATACTCTGGTCTTGGATACCACGGTCTTGGCTACTCCTACCTCCACTAAAATGCCACACTCTCCTCCGGCAACTTCAACACCAAGTCTGATTTGAAATCGGACCTCTTTTTCGAAAGATCCACCCAGAATTCAATGATAAAACTATTTATTTTTCAGTGATAATATAACTTGTTACTCCTTATATGATTTTTTTTTTAAATACTTCCTTTTTTCCTTTTTTTAAGAACGAATTTACAGAAGCCTAATGATTGAAAGCCAGTGATCTCTAATACTTGCAAGTAAAATAAAATAATTATGCATAATAATTTTTAATACAAATAATTATGCAATATAAATATATTAGGTGTAGACGATATTATCTACACATTTTGTGGGTAGGTTGTTCACAAGATTGAGAAGAACCTATTTATTAAAAAAATACTGTCTGAGCACATCTCAAGAAGTGACACTTTTTGAGATGGCTATGGTAAAATATAATTAAATGAACTAGCAAACCAGACATGTAATTAAACAATTCGTCATGAAAATAACTTTATACTTACTATTTTATTGAATTTACTTTTTTAATATTTATTGAGCATTACAACGACCTGTCACCTGTAAATTATTTATATTGAGGAAGGATAACATTCACACTATATTTACAAAAAATATAAAATAAATAAAAGCAAAATAATAATCAAATACTATGTACAATAAACAAAATGATATAACTTAAAATTAGGAAAATTAAAACAAAGCAATAAACACATACATACCTATAAACACTAAATTAAATTTATTAACGATCAAACACTCAACACGATTAACACTCAAAGTTCCTAGAGCGTCTCAGAGAAGTTCTCTGTTTAAAAGTTATTAAGATACTACATAAAATGCCTATTTGAAAAAAAAAAAAGTTTAATACAGGAATTCAGCTGTGATATACTTTCTCCATTTTTCAAGAATGTTTTTTTTTTTTTTTTTGCGGGTAGTCAAATAAAAAAATTGAGCAATTTAATTTTTTTTTAATTTCTACTTAATATGTTATTTTGAGTTGATTCCGCTCACTGTCCTAATTATTGAAATATTATTACAACTAATAGAACATTATTGAAAAATAAGTTGTAAATACAACTTCTTTTTTTCTTTTCAAACAACTATACATCATTAAGAAATGATCAGATTAAGTAAGACTTCATTTTATAATACAAAACATTTGATGATTTATTATAATTAACTAAATTTGTTGCGTTATTTTTTATATTTTGACTTGTATTCAATAAATGTTTAATTTGGAACATTTATTTGCCTTTTAATTGTCTATTAAAAATAATTCAGTTGTATGAAACGATTTCAAGACTTCTAAACATTTTTGAACAATCCAAAAAATCTCATAGGCCTTCGGGTATACATATGTGAGGTATTATTTTGCACCTTTTCGAATTGTGGCAATTAATTATTTTTAAGGATTCATAATATAGACCGCCGCTTCATGGTTATAACATTTATTTGATGCTCAAACAGTGTTCAACGAATAAGAAGTTTTTCATTCTCAAAAAATTAATGATAATGCTATTTAAAACGACAAACAGGCGATTTTCAAACTGCACGATAGATGACAGGCAAAACGACAACCAGAAATGAACCACATCAAAGTGGAACACATCCTGCCCTAATTTACTCGATTTAGAGAACAATGGAGGGCAATCTCGCTTCAAACGGCCCTATTCAGACCATAACAATATTTCCACAAACTTCCAAACTAATGCATCAAACTGTTCTCCCTCCACAAAGCAGTTCCTCCGTAGGCCGTAACTACATTGTTGGTCCGGTTTCATAACCAAGCTTCTAATTATGAAACCAAACCAAACTGCATTAGTAGCTGTTTTGAAAAAAAAATCGTCTTTCTTCAGTTTGTAATAATTATATTTTTCAAATCCGCAATTAAAAGCTTCCTCTCTTTAAGTTGAAATAGCTTAATGTTTTACTAGGCGGAAGGTAACCTTTTGAAACTTTTAAATTTAAAGTTTAAAGTTCCTATTGTCTATGCTTATATATAGAGCTGAAGAGTTTGATCTGATTTTAGGAGTTACCCTTTCTCTTATGAAAACTTGTTTTGAGTTAGTTATGAAGTTTATTGAGGAAGTCTTTTTACGACATAATATAATATTAAAAACAGTGTAAGAAAAGAATTCTATTGATTTCATAAATTGTATTTGTGTTTTCCTGATACATTATAAATTATCTATTGTTAATTATTATTAATTATCTAAAGTTGAATTATATATTGCAGTTTTTTTTTAGTAATTTCAGTCTTGTCCTAAAAATTCTGAAGGTGTTCAGAGAGTCGTGGGTAAAATTATTGAAGAATGGCACGGCTTATATTAAGTCCAGACTTAAAAAATGTTTTTTTAAGGCGAATTTTCAGCACATTATAATTAGCAAATTATAATATATTATTTTATCTCAGATTACCATCACGAACAGAGAACATGAAACTTTAGTATTTGATACTCTAGTTATACTATTACAGATGAAACCTCTCTTTTGTTCACTCCTTCACAAGTCGCACAACAAATCAGACTTCTCCCTAAAAGAAAAGCTCCAGGTTATGACTTAATAACTGCCGAGGGGTTCCAGCAAATGCCTAGGAAAGCACTAATGTTCCTTACGACAATATGTAACTGTATTCTGAGGACAACTAACTTCCCATTGCAATGAAAATGTTCACATATCAAGATGATACCCAAAAGTGACAAAGACAGTTTCCTCATCCCTCATCCTACCGACCTATCAGTCTTCTTCCGATATGTTCCAAAGTTTTCGAAAAATTAATACACAAAAGACTGGTTGACATACTCAGAGATCAACAAATAATACCTGACCATCAATTCGGTTTTCGTACATTTCATTCAACAACACACCAATTACACAGAGTTACTGACTATATTACTGGAGCGCTAGAGCAAAAATGATATGCTACCGTCGTTTTTTTGGATGTTGCCCTGGCATTTGATAAAGTCTGGGCACCAGGGACTTTTCTTCTCAACTTCTCAACTCAAAACTATACTGCCTAATACATACTATCTCATATTATTCAGTCTTTCCTTTTCGACAGATTCTTCTCTGTCCGACAGGGTTTAGAAATTTCCTCAATTGGACCAAGATCAGCAGAGGTGACTCAAGGATCAATATTGGCACCTTTACTCTACATTGTCTATACGCATGACATGCCTACAACCTCTGAAACATTGACTGCTACTTACGCTGACGATACAACCATTTTAACAAAACACCATGACTCCAGACTAGCCTCATTATATTTACTTTCTAAATGTACAAAATTGGTATTCACTTTGGAAAATTAGATTAAGTCGTCACAATTCATAGCACATAACATTTACGCTTCGACGAGACACATGCCTACCAGTTAATATCAGCAACAATCCAATTTCTCAGACGGGCACTATACGCTATCTCGGGCTAAAATTTGACAGAAGGATGACCTAGAGCCCTCACATCAAAATGAAAAGAAAGACTTTGATCAAGCGACTGAAAACATTATACTCACTTTTTTCTAAATCAAAATTGAAAAGTAGACAAAAACTAAATACATACACTTACCTGCTCAAATCCATTTGGACATAGGCCTCACAGATTTACGGTTCAGCAAAAAAGACGCACTTACAAAAACTACAATCTTTTCAATCTAAAATTTTAAGACTGATAACTGCAGCCCTCTGTTATATCAACAACAAGACTTTACCTAAGTCAACCAACCATTGAACAGCACATTCGTACTGTCTACTCCCGATTTCATTTTAAACTACACGGACATCACAATGGACTTATCAACGACATGGCCACGGCTGAAATGCTCATCAGGAGACGACTGTAAAGGAGCTGGATGAGAGATCTCCTTTCCTGATTTTAGGATTTCAACAGACCAGGGAAGAGGTACTGCTGGGTTCCATTTTTCGTAATGCCTATCATTGCCATTTTCTACCTAACAAAAAATCGGCTAATTATCACTACAGGTGCGGATGGAAAATTGAAGACCAATAAAAAAAAAAGAAATTTCAGTGGTATTTCTGGTGGGAAAATAAATCTTGAGTGCAAGAAAATAAATAAACATTTATTCACAGTTCTATATTTCAAGTTACAATATTGAAATTTTCAACACTGAAATCACCTACTCTGGAATCAACTTACTCACTGACTAGAAATATTATAAATTTTCCAACTAGAAACATCACTAGAATGACTTTACTGAAAAATGTTGAAATTGTAGTCACTCTTTTAACTAAAAGGCTCATATAATCCTTTAGTTAATCTAACTTTATTTAGTGTTCAGTAGTGAGTGAAAAAAGTTTTCTCTCTGCTTTCCAGTTCATTCCACAGACAACTCTGAAACAAAGACCAGTTTTAATCCGGTTCGGTAAATCATGTCTGTATCCTGTATACTAAACGAAACTATTCCGACGTGTGGAATTCTTTTTATTCAAGAACTAATGTAATATTTTCAAAACATTTCTTTCAATAAAATGATATTGAAAATTTTTGAGTAAAAAATGAAGCCAATTAACCGTCTTTGTCGTTATCTTATATTAAGTTTATTATTATAGAGTTTTAAATATTTCTTTATCGCATCAATTGTTAATGAATTGGAGAAATATTTACGAAAATGTAAATTTATGATTAATACAATGGGACAATTAGGTGTTATACACAATAGCCAGAACCGTAGGCAGATTTTTTTATTTGCTTACGATTGTACATTTCTATTAGTACTGATGGGATTAATTAATTAATTAAATGATTCACTTGATAAAGAAATTAAAAAAGGAGTTAACGTCTAAATTAAAATTAAATTAAATTTACAGAGAGTTTCTGAGGTGTTCTCTGTTAAAGGTGGAAAGATCCGGTTTTTTCTTCTAGGTATTTTATACCATTATAAAATACTCACGTGTGAAAAAAAAATAATACAGAAATTTTAGCTCGTATAGGCTCTCCCTATTATGAATCATTGTGTCTAAGTTTATTCACGTTAAAAAATAAATTAGAAAAAAAATAACAATGCAGTTAAATTTTATTTTTTTTTACATAAGTTGTCAAACATTATAAATCTGTACCCCAGAGGCAAAGATCAACAGATCCATTTATTTATTTTTTAAAATAATTCAGTAACTAAGAAATAAA